TGTGACTGGGTTCTCGTGTGTGACTGGGTACTTTTGTGTGACTGGGTACTTATGGGTGACTGGGTACTTGCGTGTGATTGGGTACTCGTCTGTAACTGGGTACTTTTGTGTGACTGGGTACTCGTGTGTGACTAGGTACTCGTCTGTGATAGGGTATTCGTCTGTGACTAGGTACTTTTGTATGACTGGGTATTCATGTGTGACTGGGTACTCTTGGGTGACAGAGTAATTGCGTGTGATTGGGTACTCGTCTGTGACTGGGTACTTTTGTGTGACTGGGCATTTATGTGTGACTGGGTACTTTAGTGTGCCTGGGTACTCGTCTGTGACTGGGTACTTTTNTCTCGTAGTGGGAAAACAGTATATATCTCACGTGTAACTGGGTACTCGTAGTTGGTATACAATACATCTTTAATGTGTGACTGGGTACTCGTGTGTGACTAGGCACTCTTGGGTGACTGGGTACTTGCGTGTGATTGGGTACTGGTCTTTGACTGGATACTTTTGTGTGACTGGGTACTCGTGTGTGACTAGGTACTCGTCTGTGACAGGGTATTCGTCTGTGACTAGGTACTTGTCTGTGACAGGATATTCGTCTGTGACTGGGTACTTTTGTATGACTGGGTATTCATGTGTGACTGGGTACTATTGGGTGACTGGGTATTTGCGTGTGATTGGGTACTCGTCTGTGACTGGGTACTCGTTTGTGACTGGGTACTTGCGTGTGATTGGGTACTTATGTGTGACTAGGTACTTTAGTGTGCCTGGGTACTCGTCTGTGACTGGGTACTTGTCTGTGACTGGGTACTTTTGTGTGACTGGGTTCTCGTGTGTGACTGGGTACTTATCTGTGACTGGGTACTCGTCTGTGACTTGGTACTCGTGTGTGATTGGGTGCTATGTGTGACTGGGTACTTATGTTTGACCGGCTACTTATGTTTGACCGTGTACTCATGTGACGCTGACAACATGGGACATATCGTTGTGAGTATCGGCAATTGATATCTTTGTATTCTACCAAGCTTGATTTCTTTTAGAAATGCTTGATTTAAAGTTTGTCGAACAATGAAAATGTGCTGATCGCAATATGCAATAGTGGTGGTCATTATACCACAAGACTCAGTTTGCTTAGGCAATGCTAACTCAATGATTATACTTAAATATCTTGAATACAACATAATCCCATTGTTCCAATGGTAGTTGATTTAGGTCTGCAAATGTGGTTACAATAAGCTCACTCTGAGGTGCCTGTTCTCGTTTCCTCCACTTTTTAAAATAACATGGGTGGAAGAATGTTGTTAGAAGGATTAAAGTCTGTTTCTAAGTAGTATGGGCAGTATTTACCTGTGTTTTACCTGTGTTTACCTGTGTTTTTACCCGTGGTCAACCCTGCTATCTAAGGTGGTGTTTTATCATATTTACTTTAATAATACATTATCATATAAGGTTTTTTTCAGATTTGCAATGACAAATGTTAAAACTTAAATTATTTAAATATTAATCATATATATAAATATATATATTCAGTATTAAATATATCCATTTTGTAGTCCTTGTGTTGCTGATATGATAAGATGAAATGTGCTATTTCATTTTCTAGTATTTTAAGAATATTAAATATCAATAGTTATTAAATTACGGACGTCGTAACCCAATGGATCGAGGGAGATGGTCATATCTGGAACCATTACAACACTGAAGGACCCCGCACCACCAATCACCTAGAGGCCTGGCACGAGAAGTTGCAGAAAAAGGTTCACCATGCACACCCAAACATCTTCGCCATCATCAGAGTGTTCCAGGAGATTCAGGAAGCCAACGAGATCAACAGGATACAACGAGATGCAGGAGGAGTCAACAGACCACGCAAGAAACGATACCGAAACATCAGCAGTCGACAGACCCAGCTGAAGGAGCACAGGGAGAACCAGACGATGGATCTTATGGAGTACGCCAATGCAGAATCACATCTCTTACATTTGGGATAGATAACAACAAAAATGTGTGCCTCTTGGCTGTTGGACTTGAACTTTAAATTGGAGATATGATATAAATTTGAGGGGGGGGGGGGGGGCCAATTTGAGATTGCTATTACTAAACTTTACTATTCTTAATAATTGAATATTGTTAATGTATTTGTATTGAGTGATTAGTAAATGTAATGTACAGTTTATATTGATGGATTTAACTTCTTAACATGTTTGAAATGTAATGTTAAAGTTAACTTGTCTTGTATTTGGTGGCCCAAACAATGTAATATAAAAATAATATAATTAATATGCATTGACGGTTGTATGTTTAAAAATTGTAACATAATTGAAATGTAATCATTATGTATAAGTAGTGAAATACTCGATTGTGAACTCTTATGTAGTGCTGTTATATTCTATATTATCTGTTTAAAAGTGTAATGTAAATATTTGACTGTAAACTCTACATATGTATAAGTATAAAAATATATCTGTAAATATATCGATTATATATAAAGATATTTGAACCACAAAAAAAAAGATTGATTGATAGGTTTTACGTCCGCTTCACTACCGAATATGGTCTTAAGTTCAGTAGAACGAACGTCATGCCAAACATTGACAATTCTGAAAAAAATATTCCGTTCAATGTCGAAACCTGAATCACGTCTATATGAATCACGGTAACCGGCTTCAGTTTCCTCAGACCTGCATAACTAGATAGTTAAGGCTTAATAGATCAAAGGATTGAATAGAAAATGCACATCCCGTTTGGTCATGCAATACACACATGCATGTAGCCCTAAACGCTAACAACTGTTTTGTCATAGATGTAGCAACATACAATCCTTAACATTTAACTCCACAGACATTCTTGTTTAATTTCTATATCTAAAAGAATACCAAACCAGAATTGATATTTATGATGTTTCCCCTATAATTAAAGATCTCCCGTTGTTGTTGGTGAGACCTGATATATAATTAAAACAGGAACAGCTGCTGTTGAAGATCAAATAACACTATTATATCTGGTCCTGTTGTTTTTAATTTTTGAAAAATATATAGATTGGTGTGAGATCAACAGGGCTTCTTTACAAATGTCTGAAATACACATATTCTATAGACCTACTGACACATATGTTACAGCCCTACTGATATGAGTCACAGCACACATACACATTTCAGATATTAGTAGCAAACCTATGCTCCGTCGCAAGATCACTCACTTCAAACTTAATCAGTTTCACGCGTCTCGCATCCACGGTTTCCCCAGTTTCTGACGACATGTCAAATAACGAGGCTGTTATAGAATCTACCGACTGTTGTGAGGTTCCCATATAATCAACAAATAAATTCACGCCTGGATTCTTCACAAAATGAGCAAAGAGAAAAGTTCGAATTAACTTCCAAAAATAACTCCCTCGTGAAGGGCAAGGTCGGAATCAACGGTGTTCACTGTCTTTGTCCATGCGCGAAATTTGTTCCGGGGAAAAATCGAAACAATTTTAAATCTAACTTTCAGCTCAGAGTTCTATTGATTTTAAACCACCCTATAGACATATCATACGCAATTGTATTGATACTGAATTTAAAATTGAAGTGTTTGTTAAAATTTTAAAATACTACTTTGTTTGCCAATCAGCACGCGACAATACGCTGTTCAAACTATTGAACGAAATTGTGTGGACCGTCGATAAGGCTGGCATGTTTAATTTTAGATATGAATTATAAGGTTAAAAAGATCATAAGAGGCAGAGAAAACTTAAATATAAGTATTGAACTGTATTTGTATGGTATTTGTGATCTATTTAGCAGTTACCAATTCCCTCGGTAGCATATGCACAGCTGTGCATGTAGACACTTATCTGCTAATGATATTCACATGTTTATATTTGAACCCTTATCAAATGAGTGGTAGATAAGACAAAATATTGCATTTATGTTATCATAACATTCTAGAAGCTATTAAATGCATCCTATTGACAAAATTAACAAAAGGAAAGCAACTTATGATAGAGTTTGTTCATCAGAGATTGCTTCTTTAGAAATCCTGTGTTGTGAGTGTGTCGCTCAGCTTTCGGCATGTATCATATTTACAACATGTCAACGCCGTAGTTGTTTGGTTTGGTTTGATTTCAACAGCTATGGTCATTTAAGGACGGCCTCCTCTGTGTACAAGATGCATACATGTAGTGTGTGCGTGTGTGTTTTGGGAGGCTGCGATATGTTCGTGTTTGCCTCCTTTTGATAGCTCAGAACTGATACCGACTTTATAGTGCTACCTCACTGAAACATATTGAAAAAAGGCAGGGATGCAACTATCAAGAAAGGAAAGTTTACGATAGATAATTTATAATCCTTCCGTTTGTCATATATGTACGGTCAAGTCATAGGTTAAGATCGAGTCGAGGTAAGAGGCTGAAGCAAACAAGTTTGTAGTTTTTTTCAAGTCCAGGGGGAATACACAATCGAAGAGGTAATTGAAGGTCTTGTTAGGTAAATAAACAAAACGTCACCCATATATGTGACATTAAAATCGAAGGACTCAATAAGGTTCCATTTTTTTCTATTTTCCTTTATTATCTCATCAGAAAACTGAATAGTGTTATATTTACGTTGTGAAAGCATCCGGATAGTATTTTCTTATTCACGTAGTTTTGATGATATAGCCAAGAGTTTCGTTTCTCATTAGGTGATTTGTTTTGCTTATTCGAAGAGTAATGAGGTTTTTTTTCTTTTTTCTTTTCAGAAATTGATCAAAACTCATCTTTTATAAACATAAAAGTGTTGTTTGTCATTTTAAATTCAATGAATAACCATTACTGTTTTTGAGGTTACACGGTATATAACGAAAAGACTGTGCACTTCTGTGCACATATTTTTATAGTCTTACAACTTAAAATGCGTTGAAACATCAAAAATGATATAAGGAACATGCGTGTGTTATAAAATATCAATAGGCATAAAACAGTTAACAGAAAGATGCATCAGATTTTCTAAAAGTCGATTGATTTTCTGTACTATTGCAGAAACGATAAACTGAAATTTAAAAAAAATCTATTTCTTTTCATTTTTTATTATTATTGTAGGTATGGAAAAAGAACGCGAAAGTTTCATCAGCACGCGTACGGTAGACATCCGACACAGTTCGCCTTATCAAGAAAGCGGTGAGCAGGAAAAAGCGGACAACTGGTGCAGAGGTCATCAGCGTTTGTTCCGGAAGCTTCAGAAGAACCGAAAATTCCGTGCCAAGTTTTCCTACAGCATTGTCCAGTGCTTTTCGTACATGCTCCTGGTAAATACTGGACAGATTTTGTCGATATCTCTGTCATCCTAGCACTGTATATGATATGAGTGATAAGGAAATATATATGTGTCTCTGAACATATAAGGGACATGTTCGTTCTCTACACCCCTCGAATATGTCATAGAGAAATGGGAGGCTGAGTGGGCACTACGTTTAGCGTTTGATGTACATTAAAAGAATATCACGGTCGCGTAACTGTTAAATTGACTGGCTTTGAAGTCGGGTGTCGCTCTTCTATTATCTTCAAAGTACAGGTATCAGCCTCGCGATTTGTCAGGATTTGTTTTACCCGAGACCACTTAAATAGCTAGCCACATGCCTTCACTTTTGCTATGACATAATCAAGGTGTGCAGAGATCAAAATGAGCGATAACCCCTAGAGTATCGAGGATGTAAATAGGACTAGTACTTGTATTCAAACAAAATGTTGTTTTTTCAAAAAGATTTGGTAAAATCCCAAAACTTATCCCAATAACTAAAGATTGAAATTAAAACATATTTCGAGTTCGCATATAAACAAACTGTCATCAATGTAAGTTGTACCAGGAAAAAACACACAGCAGCGTCTGCAAACAAATTCAGCCTACGCCATAGTGACAGAAAACTTCACAACGTCAATAAATAGAGAAAACATATTTATTACAACATCAACACACATGAACAAATTAGAATTAGGGGATAACCGCGTCGCCAGTAAAACTCAGTATAATCACTATATAACCGCGTCGCCAGTAAAACTTAGTATAATCACCATATAACCGCGTCGCCAGTAAAACTCAGTATAATCACCATATACCGCCGCAAATTTCACAATAAAGTATGGTTGTCTCCATTATAATTCATATAAGCCAAAACTGCCAAAGGAAACGACGATGGTAAGACATTTTGGAGTGTTTGTCATATTCTGGGTCACTTTGCCGTGGATTGATGACGTCAGGAATAGCCAAAGTAAGGCGGAACTACATTGATCCTTCGGGGTTGCGCTATTATTCGAGACGAGTCAGGGTCAGTCGGGGTCATTAACGTCGATAACAAACGCCATCCGGGCTTCATACGCAAACGAGAAAGACTTGCGGACGGTATATCGTGGTTATACTGTCGCAAATTATTTTGGTTGACCAATCAAATATCTTGTTACATCTCGAATGAATTAGAATAAAGTGTCAACAAACAAACCCAGATATTGACACATCATAAATGCCAACACAACGGATCATAATATTACACGTCGTCAATACTAATGGGAAGCCAGTACTTGCCATCAGCGACATAATGCATGGTGAATATGTCTTCACGCATGGCAAACACTGAGGTAACATTAAGTTAGAAAGTAAACTATAACAAATCGTATTGAACTTACAATGTTAAATTAGTAAATCATGTATTACTTCTTTTACTAAAATGGAAAGGACTTGTTTATTTTTACCAAATGAAATCGTAACTACATTTATACACTGCATATGCTGACATTGCAATGCTGTTTTATCTGTAACCAATTAGGGATGGATGAAAGCTCAGATCGGTCCCTCCTTCTCCGACATTCTTCGTATAACCAATGCGAGTCTTGACGAAGGGGGAATACTACGGACAATCTACTACGCTGGCGTAGTGATCGGATGTCTTGCCTGCGCCATATTGTTTAGTCGTCTGCCAATACCACTTCTATCTGCCGCCATTTTTGCCGTTGCAAGTGTCGACATTGCTGTCATCCCCTGGTGTTCAGAATATGGTGTTATGGCAACAACCCATTTCATACAAGGTTTCTGTTTTGGAATATATGATACAAGTAAGTGTATTAACCTGTCTGCAACGTGCATCAATCTAATTACCTTCTTGATTTATAAATTCAGAGACTAACGCAAGAAACGATGGGAAATGCACTATGTACCTAAAGCATGAACAAAGATATTGATTTTTTGACGATTGGTTTTTTCTTTCCAACTTTTTATATGAATGTTCTATCAATGAAAATGAAAAAACGATGTGTTTTGTTTGTTAAAAAGATAGTCATGCTCGTGGCATTTCAAACACATTTGGTTTGAGACTATGCGAAAGTAAGCAATAACTGAGTACTTGTCATTAATACATGTATATATGATATATATGTATAGCACATTGAATGTCAAACAAAAATGACAAATGCAACGGCAGAGGTGCCTTTAATGCTGCTCAACAGGTACAATGTATCTACATGTATTTTGGCGTTATCGGTAAACACGCCGTCCTTTAATAAAGAAGCTCATCTCAGATATAGCCCTAACCCTCAGTGTACATTGAGAATAAGCCACTAGTCAGGAGTGCATACCATCCGATCACGAAAAAACTTGTTCAATTCTTGTCGGTTGATGTCACAATTTTGAACAAGCGTTGTTCTTTATATGCTCTTGCTGTCCGCCAAGGCGCTAAACTATTTTTACTGCCCGTTCGTACGGGAGCATTGTAGTTAAAGATTTATTGAATGACCCTCGTATGTCATATCGTACAATTTTGAAAGTAAATTGAACACAAATATGTGGAATTGCTTTTATTACGCATACACATCTAGAATTATTCTTCATATGCCTACCATATATATCGTATTTATTACAAACTGTTCCACAGTTGCATTCATGTTGAAGACATCTTGGTTTTTGCTTCCATTGGGTGATGAAAGAAAAAGTCAGCATCTTGCATCCTATAAGCGAACTTCAAAGCAGCTTCATGTGAACTCTAACCAAGTACTGTTTTCCTTCCTCATCCAGGCGTAAATAAAACATTTTTTCAAGCCTCGTAACTTCATAAATCCTCCATTTTACACAATAAATAACAGTGTAATATATAATAATCCACCATAAAAATATATAGAAATGGTATAAAATATAGGACTAGGGCTAGTCTGTGACAGCTGACCATACTCTATTAATTGACTGTAAATTGGATATGTTCGATAAAGCTATAAAGCCTGTCATGTTGTATGGTTGTGCAGTCTGTTTTTTTTTTTTTTTTTTTTTTTTTTTTGTGATTACAAGCTTTTAGAACGCTTACATTTGAAGTTCAGCAAACATATTCTTCAGGTGAAAACACTGACACCCAATTGCATGATGTATGGAGAACTAGGAAGATTTCCTCTGAGTATAAATATCAAAGTTCGAATGATTTGATTTTGGGGCCAAATTGTCAGAACCAATACCTTATAAATTAAGAAATAAAATGTATAAGATCATTATAACTATAATACTCAATGGTTTAATTATATTAAGAACATCCTTGATGAATATAATTTAATACATATATTTGAAAGTTAATTCCAAAGTACCCAATGGTTGAAAAATACAGTTTACAATACACTCAAAAACAAATTCATTAATAATTGGAGAAGCGATGTTTTCAATTCACTTAAAGGGACTAAATACAGAATTTATAAACATGACTTAGTATTAAAAAAATACCCGCTAAATCTCCCTCCAAGACTAGCAAATGTTTATTTTAAAACTTAGAATTTGTAATGCTAAATTTCAGATTGAATGTGGTAGATGGAATAACATCCAAAGAGAAGACAGAAAATGCATTATTTGCGACCAGAATGAAATTGGGGACGAATATCATTATTTGTTAATTGTAATGATCACCAAATACTGCAAAACAGAAAACATTTATGTCTAGATATTACTTTGAAAGTCATAGTACTTTCAAGTTCAACACATTGTTTAAATATGTCAATAATGAAGAATTAATTTCACTTATACAATTCCTTAAGCACATACTGGAGCGAATTAACACTGTCCATTAACACCATGATTTATATGCAAATTGTTCTATATATATGTGTGTGTAAATTCTCTACCTGTAACCAGTTTGCGAGAATACAAATTTGTCATTGTCATTGTTCATATATTACCTCCGTTATACTATTTTTGTTGTAGTTACGTTCGCCGAGGGAGTGCGGATATGGAGGAATAATTCGAAATCGTACTTGCAAGTGTTGGCTTTTGGATTTTCTCTGGCGTCTGTGTTATCTCCCTTAGCCTCAGCACCCTTTCTCACTGAGAAGTACACTCCTCTATATCTTACAAATACTATACAAGCGAATACTTCATACGTATTAAGCGATATGAACGCATCATTAAATTCGCAATCAGTGTTAGAGAATAACACCTCATTGATACAGCCAGGGAGTTCGAATTTTTACATCGCCTATACCATAACGGCCATTCTAACATTTTTAGCGTTTGTGTCACTACTGACGATTTGGATAGTGTATCGAGAAAATTTTCAGAGTATATATACAAATCAGTCAGAGGTTATCGAGACAAGTAATACGGACAAAGCGGAACAAAATATAGTAAAAATGAAACGACCTCTAGGTGCTAAACGGAAACTGTTTAACCTTATATTGATGTCTTTACTATTTGCCGTATATAACTCTGTAGACTACACCTTCGGTGATTTCCTAACCATATTTTGTGTCAGACAACTGCATTGGACAACGAGAAAGGGAGCATTTTTGACATCCATCGTATTTTTTGCATCTGTATTAAGCCGGTTTACCGCCATTTTCATAGTACGGATCTGTCGTTTGGATGTTTATCTCGGAATACTGTTCAGTATTTTGATTTGTTCATTCATAGGAATGGCGTTTACAGCGCGAATGATGTGGAGCCCCGGAATGTGGGCGTGTTCAGCTTTAGTGGGTGTGGCTGCCGGACCTATTCCAGGTGCTTTTGTATCCTGGACGCACGAGTGTTTTGTCCCTATTACTGGTAAGGTGGCGTCTGCGCTATTTGTAGCAGCATTTATTGGAGCCACAATTAATCCGCCAATACTCAGCCACCTCTTAGCAGAAACGTCAGAATGGTTCACATATCTGTTTGTTATAGAAAGTGTTATGACCATTTTAATTTTCAGCATTGCATTTATATTATCTAGGAAATCAAAGCAAGGTGTCAATAATTGAAATTCCTTCAAGAAAAGAAACATTACATGCGAGTTTTATTTGCTAGGGCAATTACATGTCCCTGCTCAATCTTAAAATGTCTGATGAATGTGATTCTTGTGACATTAAGATATGAAAGTGCTATTTATTTGTTTTCGTCTCACATTTATGTATCAGAGTGACATGTTGATGTACTCTCAAATAAGTGTGATATGTTTCTATACTCACGAACACATGTGACATGTTACTATAATCACGAATACATGTGATATGTCACTGTGCTCACGAATACATGTGATATGTTACTGTGCTCACGAATAAGTGTGATATGTTACATATGTTTCTATACTCACGAACACATGTGACATGTTACTATAATCACGAATACATGTGATATGTTACTGTGCTCACAAATAAGTGTGATATGTTACTGTGCTCACGAATACATGTGATATGTCACTGTACTCACGAATATATGTGATATGTTACTATGATCACGAATACATGTGATATGTTACTGTGCTCACGAATAAGTGTGATATGTTACATATGTTTCTATACTCACGAACACATGTGACATGTTACTATAATCACGAATACATGTGATATGTTACTGTGCTCACAAATAAGTGTGATATGTTACTGTGCTCACGAATAATTGTGATATGTTACTGTACTTATGAATACATGTGATATGTTACTGTACTCACGAACACATGTGATA